CGGGCCCCATACATCCGTGTGCACATAGTCAAGAATGCCTCTGCTTCTATGTTTGCTTGGCTGGAACTGAACTCGGTGTACTTTACCGTACACGCAATGCTCACAAAAATCCATGCAAGGCTTCTTCAAGTTCTTTAGCAAACCTCTCTTGACTAGCAGATCTAGCCCCTTTTCAGACATATGCCCAAGCCTCCTATGCCATAGCCGAGTGCACTCACATGGGTCTCCACCACTTCCACTTGTTCCAACCGCTACATCTTCTGTAACTGTAGTACCCTGAAGATTATAGAGATTGCCTTCACGAATACCCTTCATCACAATCAAAGAACCACGAACAACCTTCTTTACTCCATTCCATGTTACAATCTTGCAACCACCGGAGTTTAAGGCACCAACAGAGATAAGGTTCTTCCGCAAATCAGGAACATGTCTAACATCCATCAATATTCTAACCACTCCATCAAACATCTTGATTCTAATTGAACCGAACCCCACCGTTTTACAGGAATGGTTATTACCCATCAACACGGTTCCACCATCAGTGCTTCTATAGGTAGTAAACCACTTTCTATTTGGACACATATGGTAAGAGCATCCAGAGTCAAGAATCCACTTACCGGAGATTTCTTCATCACAAGAGATGGTGTAGCACTCATCGCTTTCCCCTCTTTCCGAGGCATAGCTAACCTCTTGCTTGACTTGCACCTTCCCGTTGTTGTTGTTCTTATTGTTCTTCTTCGAACCCCTTTTGTTAGTACAATTCGCCTTGAAATGCCCAAACTCGTCGCATTTGAAACAAGACCTTTCCGTAAGAGGTCTAGAACTCGATCTAGATTTTTCTCCCTTGCCCTTTGATCGCACATTGCTTCTACCTCTTACAAACAATCCTTGAGCTTACTCCTTGTTACCAGTGGTAGCCATGCCACTAGTTGCAATCTTTCGAAGATCATCCGCTAGAAGTGACGTTCTAGTGTCCTCCATCACAAGTTTATCACCCACAAGCATTAATGTTTGTACTAAGTTCTCGTAAGATTTTGGCAATGAAAGAAGTAGTAGAAGTGCTTGATCCTCATCATCTACTTTCACATCAATGTCCTTCAAGTTCGATATGCACCTATCAAACTTGTTGACGTACTCCCGAATTGGTGTACCTTCATCCATCTTGCAAGTATACAATTTGGACTTCAAATAGATCTGATTAGTTAGAGTCTTCGTCATGAAGTTTGTCTCCAACTTTGTCCACACCTCCGCCGCCGTTTCCTCATCATCAACCAAGAAAGCAACATCTCTTTCAAGGCATAGAATGATAGACGCTCGTGCCACAAGATCTAGCTCTTCATAATCCTCGTCAGACATATCTATGTGCTTCTTCTCCTTTCCTACCAATGCCTTGTGCAACTTTTGAGAAATTAACAAATTTTTCATTTGCATTCTCCAATATGAGAAATCATTCTTCCCATTGAATTTCTCTATCTCATACTTCCCAATCTTCACCGTTCCTCTAGTACACATGATTTATCTACTTTTTTACCGGAAATAAACCAACAAAGTTCACTTGGGAATCTTCACAAATACCTTGTGTCACAACAAAGTTCAAGCTAACCCACCAAAAATCGGAGTTTAACCACCCTGATTTAAGAAGATGCTCTGATGCCAAATTGTTGGGAAAACAACACTCCCAAGAATGCCCAAGAAAGAAATAACTTGTAATGTGAAAAAATTCCAAACCACTTGAAAGATAAGAAATTGGGGAAGAAATGATTTTTTCAATATATATGAAGAACAATGGAGTTGATTACATGAACAAGCCTCAAGTTAATCCCAAAGAAAGAAAAATGACTTTGAATTTATGCCCAAGAAGAACAACCTCTTACTTGATAAATTCTATCCAAGCCTTTCTCTCTTTTCTCTTCTCTAAAATCGGGTTCTTCCTTTGCAAGGGAAAAAACCAGCTTTATATAATGTATCGGGGCGCCTAGGCGCCATCCCTACTCCTCTTCTACTCCTTTCTCACACAAAGTAACAAAGGTGGTGGAAGTCGACCATAGACCACTTGAAAAGGTGTAGTCTTGATTGAAGAATGATGCCCTGTGTTGTAAGAGTACTCTGCCCAAGGAAAATACTTATGCCAATGTGTGGGATGATCAAATGTAAAGCTACGAAGATATTGTTTTAGCCCCTTGTTTGTGACTTCTATTTGGCCATCCGTTTGTGGGTGGTATGCGCTACTAAACATCAACTTAGTTCCACTAAGAAGAAATAATTCTTGCCAAAATTTGCTGAGAAAAATAGGATCTCGATCACTGATAATGGAAGATGGAATACGTACAATTTACAGATATTCTGAATAAATGTATTGGCGACCACTGTAGCATTGAAACCAGTTGGAAGAGAAGCAAAATGGGCATACTTTGACAGTCGATCTACAACTACCATAATGGATGTAAAACCATGAGATAGCGGAAGCCCCACAATGAAATCCATAGTCAAGTCTTCCCATATCTGTACCGGAACCTCAAGTGGTTGCAAGGTGCCTACAAGAGTCAAAGTCTCATATTTTGTCCGTTGACACACAGGGCATGTTTGGACAAAATGGTTAATATCTTCCGGCATGCGTGGCCATTTAAATTGTGACTGTACATGAGCAGTAGTTTGAAATATACCATTATGTCCACCAACAGGTGTGTCATGTTGATGTAGGATGAATAAGAAAGAAAGAAGAAGGAACGGGGAGGAGAAATAGTGAGAAGGGAGAAGAGGAGAAGAAACCAGGGGAAGAGAGGGGAGGGAGAAAACGGCTGCAAGCCACCAAAAATATTTCAATTCTAATTCATCATCAATTGTCTCAAATGAGAAACAAAACAGAAATAAATAGCAGAAGATAAACCCTAAAGAGAAGGGTTTGGGCCAAACCCACTAAACAAGCCCAATAACGAAAACATAAACAATAGTTCAAATAAAATATAACTAAGAGTCCAAATAGAAAATAAATAATAAATGGATGTCCGCATCAACTTGCATCACATGTAACTCTCGAATGATGTAAAGCTTGTGGTTAGATTCTGAGCTTACCAAGATACGACCCTTGTGCCAGATCAAACCTTGATGTATCCGATGACGAGGAAAAGCTGCACCATCTTGGGCAATGGCCTGCTGTAATCAAACGAGGTCAAGTAATTGATTAGTCTCCTGTTTCAAATCTTCAAAAAGCTGGCTAGTCTGATGTACCAATGTCAACAGTGTTGCTGGCACTTTCGAAGTAACATTCTCTTTATCTTTTCTAGAGAGAGCATCCGCCACACAATTGTTGGCTCCTGGGTTGTAGACAATTTCAAAGTTGAAGCCAATTAATTTAACCAGGAACCTATGCTGCTCTGGTGTTTGAATCATTTGTGACATCGATTCCCTAATACTCTTGTGATTAGTTTTGATGAGAAATTTTCTGCCCAAAAGGTATTGACGCCATTTAGCCACTGCTTCTGTAATTGCATACAACTCTCGAATATAAGTGGAAGCTTGTTGTATTTTGGAATTTAACTTTTTCTGTAGTATGCAATGGGATGTGAAGCTTGGATCAAGACAGCTCCTATCCCAACCTCTGATGCATCGGTTTCTCTAGTGAATGGTTGCTCGAAGTTGGGTAAGGCTAGCACTGGAGTCTGAGTCATGGCTGATTTCAACTGTTCAAAAGCTTCGTCAGCTGCTGGAGACCATATGAAAGCATATTTTTGAAGTAATGACGTGAGTGGAGCAGCTATGGTTGCATAATTCTTTACAAAGCGACGGTAATAACCAGTAAGACTAAGGAAACTGCGAAGCTGTTGAATATTCACTGGTGTTTTGTACTATAACATAGATTGAATCTTGAAGGTTTCAGGAGCAACCCCGCTAGCTTACACGATGTGGCCCAAATATTCAATTTGATTCTGTGCAAACTTGCATTTGCTTCTTTTAGCATACCAGGAATTGTCTTTCAAGCACTCCAACACAAGTTGTAAATGTTCAGAATGAATATTTAGTGTTTTACTATACACTAAAATATCATCGAAAAAAAAATCACAAATTTTCTCAGAAATGGTTTGAGCAAGCTGTTCATGGCAGACTGAAATGTCGAAGGCACATTCATGAGTCCAAAAGGCATCACAACAAATTCATAGTGACCCTCGTGAGTTTGAAATGCCGATTTATAAATATCCTTAGGCTTCATTGTCATCTGATGGTACCCGGCACGAAGATCAATCTTAGAGAACATGGTGGCTCCAAAGAGCTCATCTAATAATTCATCAACTGTAGGAATCGAAAACTTATCGGGTATGGAGATTTGACTGAGAGCTCTATAGTCTACACAAAACCGCCATGTGCCATCCTTCTTTTTCACCAACAATACGGGAGAAGAGTATGGACTGTTACTTGGTCTTATCATGCCCGAGTTTAAAATTTCTACTATGAGCTTCTCTATTTGCCCCTTTTAAAGTGAGGGTACCTATATGCCGCACGCAATCTGGTTTTGTTCCAGGTATAATATGAATTTGATGATCATGGTCTCGTTGAGGAGGTAAAGCCACTGGACTTTCAAACACATTCTAATTTCTAATTAAAACATTGTGTATCTCCTCATTCAGTTCAGTCATCTCGCCTTTTAACTCTTCTCCAGATTGTTCAATTGAAGTTAGCTGGTAACAACACGAGGGACTAGTCTCCTTAGCTAATTAGTTGTCACTAGTCTCCTTAGTTCGTTGAAATGGATGGTTGTAGGGGCAATGAGGGACTCTCCCTTGAGATTAATTTACTGTCCTTTCCACTGAAAAGACATGGTCAGGGCCTTGTAATCCATCACTATCGGTCCCAACGGTTCAAGCATTGTACCCCTAGCACGACATCTGTCCCTCGTATTGGTAAGATGTGGAAATCTATTAAAAATGAATCTTGTTGGATCTGTACTGGAAGCGATGGACAATGCCCTGTGCAAGCCATGGACTCTCCATTTCCCCAATACAGAGAAGTGATTGGAGGGGAGAATGGGAACCCGTAAGTGCTGAATTAGCTGCTCTTGGATGAAGTTGTGAGTGGACCCTCCATCAATAAAAATTTAGATTTCTTGTCCTGTAATTGTCCCTATAAATCGCAGTGTGCGAGGAAAATGCTGCCCAGCCATAGCATGGAAACTGATTGCAGGTGGTAGTTCTTCAATAATAATCTCGTTTTCTTGGGACCCTTCCAATTGCAACAACTGATTGTCATCCAAAATCTCCTCATCATCGAGCATCAATACAAAAAGTTTAGCCTTACATTTATGCCCTTTTCCAAATTTCTCATCACAGTTAAAGCACAGTCCTTTTTCCCGTTGCTCCACCATTTCGGCTGCAGACAATCTCTTAACTGGTATATTCGAACTTTTAACATTAATCAAAGCATTACTTGGAGGAATTCTGGGAGTAGGTAATATGGATGGATTTGGATGTGGTTTAGTGTTTGGGATCAGAATCTGTTTGCTCGGCAAATTTCTTATACCCATATCATTAAATTTGTCTTCCATCAGTTTAGCCAGGTTTACGGCTTGTATAAGAGATTTTGGTTGCAATGCACGCACCTCTCGCTGGATATCTTGGCGCAACCCTGATTCAAAACAGCTCTGAAGAAACGACGCTGAAACCCCAGTTGTTTGATTAGCCAAAGCTTCAAATCTCGATTGATAATCGGCCAATTTGGTTGTTTGGGTAAGCTTAGCTAGCTCACCTTGGATGTCCCTGTACTTCGACGGACCAAATTGAACCAAGAGTGCCTTAAGGAATTCCTGCCAGGATGGAAGTAACCCATTACGATGCATCCATTGATACCAATGCAGTGCATCAGCATCCATATGGAAAGAAGATATAGTCAAGCATTGCTGATCTGGAGTGTCGTGAAAATAAAAGAACTATTCGGCCTTAAAAATCCATCCATGTGGGTCCTCTCTATTGAAACGCTGAACATCGAGCTTCAGATTTTGCATAGGTTGCACGGTGTTGTCTTTGCCCACTAGTGCCTGCTCTCGTCGGAGTGTTAGAGTTGTGGATGATCCTGATACATCCACGACGGGATTTCTCAAACTCTGCTCCAATCGACCTTCCATTGATGTCAATTTCAAGTTGATTTCCCCGAGAATGTTGCCGAAGGAACTGAACTGTTCATTGTGTGAAGACAGATGATTCAGGCAATCCTCAAGACCTTGTGATACATATGCTCGAGTCTGCTCTGCCGTGGCTGTCCTCCAAGTTTCCTCTCAACGAGAGCACCAGATGTTACGTTAAATTTTGCACAATTCGAGGTTGTGCGCCTCCTAAGTAGAAGGAATTGAAGAAATTGAATATATTACTTGTTTTCTTTCACGACAAAACCTTTACATATATAAAGGAATATGAATATCCCTTGGCCTCACAATTGGACACTTGTCCAGCTTGTTGTAACAAAATAAAAACAGAAATAACAAATATAAAATACTTGGTTTAACATTGATACTCCTTCAACCACGTGGGTGCCTTACGTGCCCTTTTAATTGATAAATCCCTCTCTTCCTTTGTTGATGTGGCAGCCAATCCTGTATCATACGGCCAGTGGCGGATCCAGGTAGTGGCCAGCTAGGGCGGCCGCCCAACTGGATCCGGTGGGAGAAATTTTTTTTTTTTGTTAACCATATATTAAATTTTACCTTATATTTCTGGTAATTGATTTTATCTTCAAAAATCCCTTGCAGCTTAGTTGGTGAGAACCGGTGTAAACAAACTTGACGTCTTGGGTTCAAATCAGCCTGTTTGCCCCATTCTTAGCTAATTTTTTTTCTCACTTTTCAAGCATTTGTGGGTCCCAAGGTAATACAACTTTCAATTAATTCTGACAATATACATTCCTCATGGCGTCAAAAAATGGAAGTGACAGTTGCCATATTTTTAAGTCCCTATCAATGCCCTTAAATTTTTGTGTGTTGGGTGGCACGTGTACATTTCCAAGTAAAATCCAAGGGCAAAATAGACAGTCCATTCTCAATGGCATTTCACTTAAAAAATACATTCTGACTCAATTCTGACCTCTTGTCATGAATTGTCATGTCGCTACTGTGTAAAAATGATTAAAATGAGTGTCCAACGGGGGCTTGTCAATGGTTTGTTATGTATTATTTTTATTCTATAATTTTTACCAAAATACAATAGGAAGGTACAATGAAGTTTCGAACTTGTAATCTCAAGTAAGAATTATTGTTAATTTAACCATTATGTTACCTTTGAATTGTGATATTAAATTTAACAAAATAATATTTGTTAAGTTTTGACTGGTTTATTGTAAACAATTTTAAAGATTCAAATTTGCACTCTTCCTTTGAATTATACAAATCTTGGCAACAATGGCATTTAATGAGTTCTGTTTATTTTTATAACAAAACTATATATGTTTAGTTTAAACAAAATGATTATTATATTTATACTTTAGGCCTTGTTCGATTCCCATTTTTTTCAAAATATATTTTTTCTTTTCATCCATACATTATTCAATAAAATAATATTACACGTAAATGCAAAACTTTTTTTATTTTTAGTTACACGTTTTCCATCAAATCACTATTCCAAAATGCATTTTTTGTAAAAAAAATCGAGTACCAAAAGGACTCTTAATATTTTATTGCGGCCGACAGTAGATGGTCAACGACCGCCCGTGCTAACTCAAGTCCCTGGATTCGCCTCTGAATTCATACGTCCTTGTTATACTTTATCTATATTTTAATTTTACTCTTAAGCCATTTTCCCTTCTACATATATTAGTTAAATTTATATTTATAAACCACATTTCTTAGGCGCCCTGCTTTGTGTATTTGCTAATTTTCATTTTATCATCCTTGTGGGTTATGATCCTTCAAACATATTCATTTGATGACTCAAACTACCCTATCCTAAAATCAGCAAGATTGTTTCTTGGGAATAAGGAACTTGTTCGCTTGGATATCTCATGATTTACTTGTAAACGTTTATGGTTTTGGTGATTGCTTGTTGTCATCGGTTATTATTTACGGTTTTGTTTAGATAAAAGACAATGTAGTTCTTGATCTACTTTTGATTTGCGTGTTCACTATAAGTTTATTAATTATACCATTGTTACTTAATTTTGTGATTTGGGTTTGATAGTTAAATTGTTAATCGAAGCAAACTTCGATATGGATGGATTATTTTGTAATATTTTACTAAGTTATTTTTGGAGTAGTAGTTTGTACTTTTGGCATATTGCTAGCAACTTTTTGAGTATGTTGATGATGTTCTTAGCAATTATTCAAATAACTTGTATATTTTGACATATTGTATTGAACTTCACTCAATATTTTGTTTATCAAAACTATGGAATACATGATTATATGGCAATGATATATTTAATTTTGTTATTTAATTATTACAGATTTATTGATAATCAAATAAATAAATAATTTTAAAAACTCAAATGGATATTTACAGCTTGCAGTAAAAGTATATGCGTTTGCATGCCTAAAAAAGTTTATTTATTTATTTACAGCGTTCATTAACGGCCTATAATGCATGCTGCAAAGAGATGTGAATGTTTACGGCCTATAATGCATGCGTTAAAGGTAAATTTTATTGTAGTGAGATAATTAAACAAATTAGGGATATCAAATCCAGTCATGTATGTTCAACTACAAGAATTAAGTTTAATGTGGAAAAATGGGTGGATTCTAAGTTCTAACGTTGTTACTAATTTGAATAGAATTAAGTTTAATGTGGAAAAATGGGTGGATTCCAAATTCTAGCGTTGTTACTAATTTGAAAATCTGCATGTTTCACGTAGATATTGGTTTAATTGACTTCGACAAAATTCTCAATCCTCATAAAAACGATATCTGATTCATCACTTTATTATATGTATTTAATATCATGCATTTGCGAGATTTTGTCACGACGTAAGCACTGTGAATTCTATTTTTTATTATTATTATTTTTTTCCAGTAGGTAGTTTCTAACTTAAGTTGAATTGTACTAGTGACTATTGTAATGTATGTGATAATTAATAAAAATTATACACTTCGAAATTTCAAAATGTAGATTTATATATATTTTTAATTATTTAGAATATAATTTTAACTCCACCTATATTTATATAGTTGGTTCCAAGCTCGAGTTATGAATGTATGTTATCATTTGCCATTGAACCAAATTGCTCCTTAATTTGAATTTAATTGGTTCGACTTCATATTGTTGTTGGAATAATTCCATATGTGGGTTTCACATTCGATTGCAAATTTTACGGGTTAGATGTATGGCTCATAACGATATTTGTGTTTTGGCCAAATTTATTAAGTGATCAATTGCGCCTTTTACACCTTACGAGTTGTAATTAATATGATGTGGTAATTTTAAGTATGTGGGCCAGAAATAAACATTAATTAGA